AAACTGACTTAAAGTGAAGTCAAGTCATATTTAAGCGCGCCAGAAGTGATTCTAAACGGTGACTACTTGCACTACAACAAGGCTCGTCCTGCGCTAAGCTAAAATACTTCATGGCTTTCATCACTGAATATGTGACAGCTCTTGTACCACAAAAACGTGAAGCAGCACTTTCAGGCAACTTCATTTTTCAGAAATTGAAAGCACGTATACGAGCATATAACGACTATCACATAAAATTTGCTTGCCCAGATAGGACCTAAGTTTGATCTCAAATATGTGGCTTTGTACGTGAGGGTGACTTTCACTAAAGTTGGACTATATCGTCTGAGAAGTTGCTCAGCCTGTATTGTACAAAGCGAAGTAAATTAAGCAAATCTATCTCACCCCTTACGTTTTCCAAAACACCTTCACAAGTCCCTTTGGGCTTTAAAAATGACACGTAGATAAGTCCTTTGCAAAGGTTGCTGAAATCGAGTATTACGATTGTATCGTGGGTATTTTTAAATTGCGAATTGCTACCTTTACAGATATGTCCAGAAATGCACGCATTGGCGAAAATGGCAGAAATGGCAATTAATCGCCAAAATCGCCAAACTATAAACAAAATTCAAATGAGGTGGCAAAGGGGCCCTTTACAAAGTGGCGATTTTGGCGAAAATGGCGTATTTGGCAAAAATGGCAGAAATGGCGCTTAATCGCCAAAATCCCCAAACTGTAAACAAAAATTCAAATGAGATGGCAAAGGGGCCCTTTGCAAAGTGGCGATTTTGGCGAAAATGGCGTATTTGGCGAAAATGGCAGAAATGGCAATTAATCGCCAAAATCGTCAAAATATAAACAAAAATTCAAATGAGATGGCAAAGGGGCAATTTGCAAAGTGGCGATTTCGGTGAAAATGGTGTTTTTGGCGAAAATGGCAGAAATGGCAATTAATCGCCAAACTGTAAACAAAAATTCAAATGAGATGGCAAAGGGGCCCTTTGCAAAGTGGCAATTTCAGCGAAAATGGCGTATTTGGCGAAAATGGCAGAAATGGTAATTAATCGCCAAAATACAAACAAAGAGTCAATTGAGATGGCAAAGGGGCCCTTTGCAAAGTGGCAATATTAGCGAAAATGGCGTATTTGACGAAAATGGCAGAAATGGCGCTTAATCACCAAAATCACCAAACTGTCAACAAAAATTCAAATGAGATGACAAAGGGGCCCTTTGGAAAGTGGCGATTTCGGCGAAAATGGCATATTTGGCGAAAATGGCAGCAATGGCAATTAATCGCCAAACACACCAAACTGTAAACAAAAATTCAAATGAGATGGCAAAGGGGCCCTTTGGAAAATGGCGATATTGGCGAAAATGGCGTATTTGGCGAAAATGGCAGAAATGGCGATTAATCTCTGAAATCGCCAAACTGTAAACAAAAATTCAAATGAGATGGCAAAGGGGGCCTTCGGAAAATGGCGATATTGGCGAAAATGGCGTATTTGGCGAAAATGGCGGAAATGGCGATTAATCGCCGAAATCGCCAAATTATAAACAAAAATGCAAATGCGATGGCAAAGGGGCCCTTTGGAAAGTGACGATTTTGGCGAAAATGGCGCGCACTAATTCTGTATCTTTTCATCAACCACAAAAAAAAAAAAATATATAGAGAGTGCATGTTGGCCTTGTTCTTAAAACGTGCTTTGGCAGAAATGGCAATTACTCGATGAAATACCTAATTTGTCAAGACAAATTGAAATGACATAGCAAAGGGTCCCTTTTGAAATGGCTATTAATTGCCAAATAGTTAACCACATATTAATATAAAAATGTTTCCAGTAGTATAATTGTATACTAATAATGACAACGCTACTGTAACTTAAGTGTCATTAATCTGTTTTTAATCCTTTTACCTTAAATTGATAACCTCAGGTGATTTGAAATTCGTCCCAGACAAGAGTGTTTGGTCGGGAATTACCACTTATAACTAATTTCTTGCTCAATTCAAATCGAATAGCCAACGAGTTGTATTCGATTATCACTAAATGGTATCTTCGTAATGTTCATGGCAACTTTCTTACCAAAAAATCCAAGATAGATATCCTTAATTTTCCAGGCTTGTAGGCATTGTTTGAATAGCGACAGTTCAACATTATATGTTATGAGGAATCCAGGTTGGTTCTTGGCTACGCATTCAGATAATTAGATGGTCCGTATTGCCTTGTATATCCATCCTGTTTGTTATAATGGCGTTCAATCGTACAAGTATATATAAACGAGGTGGTTCATTGCAGTTTCACAGAACATGAACGTGTAAGGTTTAGTATTTGTTATATAGACGCGGCGGCCATGTTGAAATAGTCGATTTTGGATAACTACTTTATGTAAGTAGAAACGATTAGTGTCATTCCCAGCCGACTTTGGTGGTCACTCTATGTAAGCAAAACGATTAATGTCGTTCACAGGGACTCTCAGGCAATTGTTAAAATAGAAGGTAAAAAGGCCGGGTGACGTGTTTCGACGAGCATTAGCATTAGCAATTTAATGGAACACATATTGTACTGAGAATTGGTTTGGTGGTCTCAGCGCAAAAAAACAATATATTTTCTAAATTTCTGGCCCCATCTCATAAAGCAATAATGGGACACATTTTTTAAGAACGAGACAAACATGTACACTCTCTTTTTATATATCTAGTTGATGAAAAGATACAGAATTAGTTTGAATGGGATATGTTTTATGAAAGAGACAAACAAGTTATTACTTTGATCCAATGTTTATGTTCAATAAATGCGGTGAAGTATTGGGCACAAGTGACATTTCGTGCAGGTTTACATAAATTGGAAATAAGCGAATTCACACATTTCAAAATGGCGCATACAAGCTGCTGGACTTTTCGGCTTTCGTTACTTTTAGGGGACCGTTTCTCTAAAGAGCAAAACAAGTAAGTGCGAGAAGAAAGTGAAGAGTTTAAAACGACGGAAGAAGATAATGTGTATAGTGGAGAACCAAAAAAGAATGAAGGGCACACAATGGTTATCGTGAAAGCATCTTTTAGCCAGGAACCATGCGTTTCGCAATCGCTTTTCATTTAAGGCTGCCTCACAATTTAATGGAACCAATGTGAAGAGAATTGTAACCAGTGAGGATTGTTAAGGTCTACATCGAACCTCAAAAGTTAGAGTGTCCATGGCAAGGAATTATTAAGATTTAAAGGACTTGGTAGTTCTCTCCTCGAGTAATTAGTGGACTTGTAAGTCTTTGAAAGGAATGAACCATACAAAAGCAAATGATGCTAGTGTGATATCATCACATCACTTTTGGTAAGTCAAGCGACATCGAAAGTAAGGAAATGTTTACTTAACCTGTGAAGTACATGGCACAAATACATATTAGCTTAACTGAAACGACTTCCATTTGTTGTTTTCAGATATATTTGATTCAGTTGTATTTGATAAAATAATGTTGTTTGACAGTTAGGTAAAGCTGTTTTGTCATATATTTGATTCAGTTGTATTTGATAAATGTTGCCTCACAGTTATTGGGGCCTCTTATTAGGCAAGTAATTTGAACTTTTTTTTAGTACTGTTGCCTCACAGTTATAAGGACCTCTCTAGTTATCTACTTTGAAGGGGCCACTTTTGGCATCCAATTTGAATATTTTGCCACATATCGCCAGCCCTCTGGTGATTTTTGCCAAAATCGCCAATTTCGCCAAAATCGCCATTTTCGCCAAAATCGCCAGCCTCCAAGGGGCCACTTTTGGCATCCAATTCAAATCGCCAGCAGCTGGCGATTTTTCGCCAGTTTCGCCATTTCCGCCATTGCATGCATTTCTGGACATAAGTGTTACTTTGGAACTTTAAAGCAAAATGGATGAAAAATGGGATCATCACATAATCCACATAACCTCCTTACGACCAAGGTGGATTAGATTTGGTTGAAATATTCTAACCCTTCCCCTAGATCTCGAGCCTTGCCAATCCTTTCTTCTTAGATCCATTTTTTGCCGTATATATGTTGTATTCTGTGTTCTTGCCCTCAGTCAGATTCTAAAGACAAGCAAACGTTGCCCAGGGTTTGTCCTTTTTTTACCTCTCCAAATTCCATGACTTTCCAAGACTTTTTTCATGAGCTCTTCCAGTTTTCCATGACCCGCCGACTTAGGTTAAGCTATCACTTTTGAAAATTTTCCAAATTAATCTCGTTTTGGGGGATTTTTTTTACCTACCTCAGTTCAACAGACACAAGCTCTGTGTCCATTAAAACGAGCTTCGTTAGCGATGTTTAATTACTCTTCTCTATCTTACACTGTCCCCGCTTTTTCATCTGCAGTATCTAATCTACCAATCGTAAATTCAATTTTCCATGTCTTTCCGGGACCGACAATTAATGTAATTCTTAAATTTCACGGCTTTCCAGGTTTTTCATGACCTGTACAAACCTACAATAGGCTCAGTGTCCAGCCTTGGGTGTCTCGATACGCCCGCGGTACTCCGCACCCGACTATATACCGCGGGCGCTTCCAGACACCCAAGGCTGTTAGCTTTTGGAGTAAATCTCGTGATAGGTGTCGAAATGGGCCTGTAGAGGATTGGGAGAAAAAGGTAGGGGGGTTGGGAAAGAGGGTGCTCTTACTTCTCCCCTCACCCTCCCCTCTTTACGCCTGTCACCCAGGCTTGACCCCAGGCTATGATAGGAGTGAGAAGGAAACCTGACACTCAGTCAATCAAACAACTAATACATCATTTACTCTGTATTTACTTTAAAAAGTATTATAACAGATACCTGACGTCTGATTATGGTTATAGTACTTTCATTATCAGTAGGATACTTAGTCCTTACCAACTTTTTAGTCTAATACTAAAACTTTGAGTCCCATTATGAACACTAACAAAAGCACAATTCCTTGCAATGAAGTTTAGCAGAAATTATCCTCCTTCTTCTGTATGTTTTCTCACTATTAAGCAAGTGAATAGGAAACTTTAGTCATAAAAAGTGTTATTAAGCTTTGCACTAAATTATTGTTTTTTCTTGTTGTAGTCATCGACTACCTTGTCAGCAACTTCTGTGGATACTCCTGACTCACTTTCATTGACAAAATCGTTTATTTTGCTATAGCTAGTTGCCAAAAATGTTATCAGTACACCTATAATCACATCTGACTCAGAATCTTGAGCGTGAATAGCCGGGTAAGCTAAGCTAAGTAGCAATAATGGTAATATTAATTTTAACAACAGTATGGGCAGGCGGTCTTTCACACGGATGCAGATCAACTCATGCTCGCATGCATAACTAAACAGTTCTTTTGGAATCAGTTTCGCATACTCTCCTTGATTGTAGTTAATGAGTTTATTCAGTTCTCCTTTCTTCTCACGTTCATCAAATTTTTTCATGTAAGAGGTGAACAGTTTGCTGACCAGGTCACAAAACGGTTTTTTAAAACAACGGTAACAACTCCAAAAATAATGAAAGACGAGGATAACAACTGTAAAATGTGGTAAAAGTTCACGTAGGTGATATGTGAGTGTCTTTATGGAACTTATGATGACAGTCTTCATGATAACAGCACTGCTTAACGAGAAAAACACTTTCCAGAACAGAGAAAAACCAACGAGAATAATCTCGAGGACGGGGAGAATGAAACTGGAACCTGGGAAACTGTTTTCAAAACTTTCGTTTAAAATCCACCTTCTGCCATGACATAGACAAAACAGTGGAGATGACAAAACAACATCCACCACAAAAAGGATTATAACGGCTAGTATGGAAAGGACTGGCTTAACAACGCCAACAACAATGATATTGAAAAAAACAGCAACGATCTTACGGAACAACGATCCGTTCCCACATACCTCATGGCGGATTTTAGTGAGGTCCCGCATGAAGATTTTAAGGCACTCAATGAAACCGTTGAAAAAGTTTATAAAAACATTGGTTAGTTCCTTTAAGTTATGCAAAATGTTGTCTGGAACTTCGAGGTCCGTGGGACATTCTATTGGAGAGTTATTGCAAACGTTACAGATGCGCATATGACTGACAAAACACATAATGCGGCATACTTCGATAAACCAACTCCCGGTCCTTCCGTGGGGAGGCCTGGGCATGTTCCACCCACAACCTAATGACTTAGGGAAAGCAAACTGCAACACAAATGAATGAATACGCTCATCAACATAGCACTCAAAATGCCTTCTGTGAACAAAGCAGGTCGTCCATGAAGTACTGGTGGCTGGAAATTTACCTGAAATCAATCCATGTACAAAAACGGATCTAATAAAATAGCAAATGAACGAAAATAGTACCAACAAAAGAAGAATAGGGTGATGATTAAAGAGAAAGTTAAACACAGAGCCAGTTAGGTGGGGATATGGTAAATAAGAACCAATCCTTGAGTGGAGTTTTGGTAGGAACAGCAACATGAAATCCCCCAAGCCTGTGAAAGCTAAAAATGGGAGAAATGTCAAAAGAATGAATTTCCCCCACCGTTTTAATAGGCTTTTGTTTTGAGAGAAAAACGTGTTACCTATCCAACTTCCAAAACCTACTGGGGAGGGCCCTCCGACAATAATCATACGAGTATAGGTTTCTTCTGTCTCGTGTGAAATGGCCTGTTGTGATGAATTGGTGGTTGAACGCCTGGAACAGACTAGGTTGCGGGCAAACGTATCTGGCGTATCAGGCACATTAGTATCAGTACAAGTGAGTTCACCATTTGTGTTGTCATTTTCAGTATTATTAGTGTTCAGTTCTTCAACTGAGTTGGTACGATAAGCATCAGTTGCTTCCCCATCAGGCATCTCGGTATTCTGCCTACTGTTGCTCTTTGCCTCTATCGCAGTAGAAACGTCTCGTCCGTTTACATCAACGTTATCAAACAGCTGCAGCGGCTGACTACCAGGACATGGCTCAGCACAACTAGACGTCGAAGCCATCAACTTTCTGTCCGTCGTGAGAGAATACCTAGCTGGGTCCTTGCTATATCCTGCGGCAAAGCTCTCCTGACCAGGCGCTACCGTCACTGAATGTTCTCTGTCAGGTGTCTCAGCCTCTCTGGAGAAATGGGTTGCAGCACTTTCTCCTGTTTCCGAGTGTAAAGATCGCGGTGTGATATAATCAGTCATGTCGAGACAACAGGCCGAGGTAACATCGCCTTCTGCTCTCTTATGTTTTTGGAGATTATCGTCATCATTCTTATTTATCTCCCGACGAGTGCTTGAAGGAACATCATCATCATGTTCTCGGGGACTATTGACACCAAAGACATCGCCACCGCCAGTCTCCTGAACGGGAATACGTTCAAGTCGTATACATGTAAAGCATTGTGGCCGCTTTCTGAGCCCCTTTGAAAGAGGTATTGTGATTTCTGATGGACGACACCAAAGCAACACTGCGGAAGAGTACAGAACAAATCCAATCAAAATCACGACAGCTAAATAGATCCATCCATCACTTACAACTATTTCCTTATCCTTGGTCGTAGCAGAACTGTCTCTGGCTGAACTACTGGGGACATTGACT